GCCTCATCGCATATAGGACTATGACAGTGATTCATTCAGAGAATGTTCTCCTTGAGAACATTTACGTCAATAACACTGATACTGAACATGGTCCCGGATTTAATTACTCTCTCATTGTCAATGTGAGCTTGCCCTGCAATTCTTCGCACCTTATTCATAACATCTTCATTCGCAGACGGACGGTGCAGACACGGTTTATGCCAACAATATCACTTTCCGCGGATGGACGGTCGAAAATGGCGACGACTCGATTGCTATGAAAGCAAACAGCACCAACATCCTGATAGAGAATTGCAATTTCTACACAGGACTTGGGGTCGCTATCGGTAGCATCGGTCAATATGGTAAGGGCCTTAATTCTTCATTCGTCGGATCTACTGCTGACTTGTTCGCCCCTTCAGAGGGTGCCTTTGAGACAATTCAAAACGTTACCGCCCGCAATATATCCATCACTAACATGCCATTTGGCGCATACGTCAAGACCTGGACCGGTATCTCCACTGGCTCTCCACCCAATGGCGGAGGCGGAGGCCTAGGCTTCGCCTCCAACATCACCTTCACCGATTTCACCCTGCACAACGCCACCGGAATATTCCTCATCACCCAATGCACGTCGTACAACGGCGTCACAGGGATGTGCGACACATCCAAGTTCAACTTGCGAGATATCAAGTTGAAAAGATGGAGAGGGACTGCAAGTAGTTCTGTGGTGGGGAGTATGCAGTGTAGTGCGGCGAGTCCGTGTACGGGGATCGAGATTGAGGATGTGGAGAATGGGATTGTGGACCCGGTGAATGGGACCAGGCCGGTGAATTATTTGTGTGATAGTGTGACGGATCCTGTGGGGTTCAACTGCACGGGTCCGCCGTGGTTGGAAAGTAACAGGCGCTAACAGAACCCATGTTTTTTTTAGTTTTTTTATAAGGCAGTACTTACACTACAACGGCAGGTACCGTAAGGTAGTACTGAATACAATTGCCCCTCATGAATGAAATGTCTCTATAACACACAACAGAACGGAGCATGCCAAAGCAGGGCTCGCAGCGCAAAGGTGCTCAATCATAAGCTACAGACTGTAACGTCGTGGTGTCAATGAATGTAGTATGTGGAATCCTGTAAGAAAAGAGAAAGAAAAAAGTGGGAAAAAACACATTAATTTGCTCGGTTCACCACTAAGCTAGAAGTTTTTTTGCGGTTTATGATGCCAAAAACTGATATACTTATATTGTGAATAGCTCAGCACACTGTCATGATCAGGCTTTCGCCTCGGAAATCGGGTGAGATATGTATCAGATATAGTACTCAAGTTCTGTCTACTTAGATTTATGAAAGATGCCACAGAAAAAAAAATTACGGTCAGTGGATCAAGGACTACTTACTAGTGGCTCAAGGACTCCAAGAACACTGTATCAAGTAGACAGAAAATTTAATTTTATATACCCAAATAATGACCAAATCGAACAAGAAACATTTAAGCGGAAATTCCCTATCGGGAACAGGTGTAGGAGGGAGTAAGTCAGGAGGAAAGCGTAGGTTAGGATTCGAGGAAAAAGGCGGGGAGCTCGAACCAAGCAAGTCTAGATAACGGTCTCAAACCAGAGCAAAGAAGTGGACAAAAACATGGACGGTAATGGAGGAGGTATGGCGGGATCAGAGAGAGACCAGCAAAGAAGTAGGAAGCGCTCATACAAGAAACCAAACGCATCATGTTCAGGCGAAAACAACAAAATCTCTCTTTTCGTCTTCTTCTTCTTTAACTTCACCCCAATAACGACTAAGATCGAACCAACCCCCATGAGCGTGTCCGTGACCCTGAGTGAATCCTCCAAGTCCATGCCCACCTCCAAACGCCGAAGAAGGAATCGAGTCACTTCCTTCGTCCAATCCGTCCACACCATCCGACCCATTTAATGACCCATCCATCCCATCTGGCGTCCCCTGACCGATCTGACCGATCTCACCTAAAACATACGAAGCCGCCACTGGAGCAGGATTCGCATCCTGGACCGAAAAATCTAAATGCGGCCGTCTGGACGTTTGCGCTATCCGGTGAGTGACGAGGTGGGTGAGCATCACGAAGAGGATGAGAAAAAGGATGAAGAGCGTCCGGGCAGTTTGAGCGCGAAGCCCGAGACTGGTTCCGGACTTGTGTGAGATTGGATTGGATTCGGTGGTTGCGGATTTGGACCATCTGGATAAGTAGACGAAATCAATGAGCATTCATACGTACAGTGTGAGACAGATGTCTACTTACTGTAGCCTAGCTCCAAGCCTCTCGAAAAACCCAGGTTCTTTCGGTGGCGCGAGGAAAGCAATACTGTAATCGTGCGCAGATGAAGGCGACGAAGGGGTAACGATGATTGCTGGCAACGGTGACTTTTCTGTCACGAGGGGTAGGGAAAGGTCTGTCATGAAAAGTTAAGAGTACGAATGATATTGATGAGTATATGTCCACTCGAAACATTTATAAAGTTGATGAATGGCTGTGACGACCTACCTAAAGGTGCGGGTATGAGAGTATAGTCTAGGCGCTGCGGTAAGCGGTGGAGACGGGGTGCTAAAAGCATAGCACCAGTTCGTTTCAGCAATGATGTAGTTAAATTGAATGATGCGTTACTTACCAGGTTGACGAGCCATACTATCTTCAAAGTAGTTTGTGGTGGTAACAGGTTGTGTGGATTTTTACACCGCGACAAATCTAAGGCCAAAAAAGGTGTTTCGAGCGCGTCGTTGGGCTCAAAGAAGAAGCTAACGAGGTCAACGACAACGACAATTTGTTTTGCAGATGTGTGTGAAAAGCTATAGGGTAGACGAACAACCCTTTAAAAGCCGAATCAAAGAACGTAGGTTGTGCAAAAGAGCGTGTGGTAAAGCTAGCGACGTTTAGGCCAAGAGAGAAGCGTCGAAGGTGGTCAGTTGGAGAACCGACGAGAGGGAGAAATAGAAGACAAAGGAACGAGTTAATTACGACGACGGGAGAAATTGTGAAGTTTTGGCAACGATGGGAAATTTGATCAAATTGATCCCATTCAGTTTACCTGCGATCCCGAAAAAGTCTCTAGAAAGGCACCGAGAAATTGCCAGCAGCCATTTTTTTCACAACCACAAGATACCGTTTAGCAAGCCCGTAGAACTTTATACATAGTACACAATCCATTGACTGGCCCTGCCCTGATATTACAGCTACCTAGGTCCTATACCTCACCCTCCACAAGCCATCCAAACTCCTCCCTGAACATCCTTTCTGCCTCTCCAAGCCTCCTACATACCTGCACGACTTTTTCGTCTGAAACATTTGCAACGGAGAAGCGGATGTATCTGTCTAACTCCCTCATCGATGGTGCTTCGGAGGTCACCGCTACCTCTTTATCGAAAAAGAACGATCCAGGTAAAACTCTCACACCAACCTCTTCCACAAGTTTCCGACATATTTCCTCGCTTCCGTGGTCAGGGAAAGGATGTTGGACGAATGCGTAATATGCGCCTGTGGAAATGTCAGCATGAAGAGAATTGAAGTAAAAGGAACGAAAATCAAGTGTCGAAAGAGATATTTGAGGCCTTTAGATTTTCACTTTGGAACGCAATAGAAACTCACCTTGACTCACGACTCTCCACCTCGGCGCTTCCTTCTCTAATGTGTCTTTGAACAACCGTTGTCGGGCATGTATCGCGAGTGCGGTGGAAAGTATATCAAATTTGAGAGTGGAGAGTACTGATTTCTTGGAATTTGTGTCTACCGAAGAAACTGGCTTTACAGAAGAGATCGTGATCGGGATTGCTCCCATCCCAAGCTCAGATTCTGAGGCGTTCTCTCTGGGTGTACCAGGCGTAGTCAAAGGTGGCGTACTAAGTTGAAGTTGAGAGTGTACGACACTATCACTCTGAACTTCCGTTCGAGCAGATCCCAGTACATCGTGTTCTTCCTCGGCCTCTTTCGCAAGCGCCAACTGCGGTACCCTGGGGGCACATATCTGCAATGTATCCAGTACCTTGCAGATTTCCCTTAACAACTCCGGGGACGCAGTGATCGCACCGAGACGATGACCTGGAATTCGGTAGGATTTGGAGAAGGAGTAGAGGGAAATTAGAGTTGAGTGCCAGGGTAGTTTTTTATTGCTTATCGTAGTTAATAGCTTGTCTTCCGACTCTGAATCGGAATCAAAGAGACCATGCGGCCTTTCAATAACATCAGCATCCCCGACGATGAAATCCCTATAAGTCTCATCCAAGATCAACGCTATGCCCTTTTCACTCGCAAGCTTCGCAAATTGTGCTATCAAGCTTGGAGGATAGACAGCTCCTGTTGGATTGTTAGGTGTCACAAGAGCAATCGCGCGCGTTTTGGAGGTGATCAGAGAAGATGCGAGGGCCGCGGAAGGAAGAAATGACGATTCCGGGGATGTGATGAGTGGGATTGGTGTTATACCAAGCAAAGTTAGTGTCATTCTGCGTAGAGGATTTTGGCTTAGCATATAGCTGTGGCAATATATCCCCTTACTGGTGATTGAAGTACCATGGTACCGGCAGAATCACTTCGTCTCCAGCATCGGCGATAGCCATAATCGTAGCCACGAATGCGAGGTTGCAGCCAGAAGTTATAGCGATATCATTTGGTGATATATCCACTGTTTTTGCTCCATGTCCATAAGAATCCCTCATCTCCAACGCCAACGCCTCTCTCAACTGCCATTCTCCTTCAGCAGGACAATACCCCCAGGCATCTACACGTTGACTAGTCTCACGAAGGGATTGTTGAAGGAGAGGATGAGGGACAGTGCCCGGTACGCCTTGGGACATGTCGAGTATGTCGAGACTGGCCGGGCGTGTAAGCTTTAGCTTCGGAATCCATTTATACGCTGTAGGAATCGGTGGTGAGATTGTTGATAAGATGGATTTGGAAAGTTTGAACGAGAGTGGCATTGTTGAGTTGTATGTACAGTCGTTATCGTGAAATGGACCCGTAATCAGATTAACAACAATAGAAAGTTTCAACGAAATGAGACCCCGTAGCTCAGTGGTAGAGCGTAAGATTCCAGAGATTGTTCTTCCTTAAGGTCATCCGTTCAATCCGGGTCGGGGTCATGGTTTTGCAACCGATTCGCACTTTTTTTTACCCGCCTTTTACTAACTGTACTTATACATGCATGATCTCCTCATCTTCCCATATAGGTCAAAATTAAACTAATCCATCAAACCTGCTTTGCTATTGGACTTCTGCGCTATGATGGTGCATGCGAGGTGGATGTATTAGAAGCACTAGAACAATGACACACCGGAAAGTAACAAAATTCCTCACAGAGGAAATGTTGGCCGAGACGCCGGCTGAAATTTCACGTGACCGCGGATATGCTATATATGGTTTATCGTCAGTCACGTGACATTTCGGTCGGCTTTTCGGGCCATATTTCCACTGTGGGGAAATTTGTTACTTTGCGGCGTGTGACTTGCATCCTTTGCTTACTTCCCATCAGCTACAACACATGCTCCTAACCATATTAAAATCATTGAAGTCTCATGTTGAGAAGAATCCCAGCCTCGAGACGAGTTCAGAGGAGTCCATGTGCTTCGCGATATCATTCTCATTGAGCATAGATAAAAGTATGCGACAAAATCGCGTCACCTGGCAGTAATACGTGAGAATTCCGGTAAATTTCTGGTTTGCTTGTCTTTGTTTGTTTGTCTTTCCCGGTCTCAATTGTCTGCTTACATACACACGATATATACATTAGTGATTGAGGCACGGAACGACGTCAGTCTTCGTCATAACTCCCATCCTCTCCTTTTTTTTTCCAACGCCTAGACTAGAAGATACAACGTCACTGCTCAACGAAGAGAGCGAAAAAGCAAGTGCGTCACTTTCTATTGAAGGTGAGTTCATAATCCTGTTGGATTTCTGGATTATCGGTTAGATTTCTGTGAAGCGTAAAGTGGAGAGTTGATTGAGTCTGTCGTTGTCTAGAACGATGACGACACTGCTCAATTTACCTTTCGTCCTCATCCTTCGTTTGAGCTCGTCGTCGTCGTCGTCGTTATTGTCGTTCGCTGTCGAATTATAATATGCTGTATGATTCTTCGTGCTGCGTCTGCTGGTGCAATGAGGATGCGTGTAATGATAACATTATTTTTTATCCTCATTTTTGATGATCTCAATCGTCTCGTGTATGTTCCACAGCGCACGAAAACTAACACCTGCTGTAGACTAATTTCCCTGTGCTTCGCTCACCATGGTCAAACCGAAAAGTACATCGGCTTCGCCTCCACCATCTGCTTCTTCGTCTTCATCAAAGCACCCTCCATCCATGCAGCCTCCATCCATTCAGCGTCAAAATCGCTCCGATTTTGACCTTGAACCAAACCCATTTGAGCAGAGTTTTGCTCCAAGGTCAGCTAACCACTCGAATGTTCGAGGGGAGCGAAAAAGCAAGTCAGAGAGAAAAGACAAAGATGACAAAGAAAGCCAGAGGGAGAAAGCTCTTGGGCCTTCTTCTAATGAATCAATTCTCACCGTTAAATCTGGCTCGTCCGTCGATCGCGATGCTGCAGACGACCGCGAGCACCGTCCGCAAAGCCGAACTGCATCCCGTGGCTCCGCTGTTACAAACTCCAATGGTAGTCTTTCTCCGCGACCAATGCTTCCTCCTCTCGCAGCTATAAATTCCCCCGCTGACCAATCATCTTCATTCGGACATCCTTGGACCGCAGCTGGGTTCAATTCAAGTCTCAGAAGTGGCCCGTTAAGTCCTGCAATGCTTACTGGACCTCAGGATCCCAACGCACCCTCGTCAAACCTTTCCAATCCTCTATCGAGCCTCGCACCCCCAGGACTCCAATTCGATCCTTCTTCTTTCCGTACAGGGCTCACTCCACGCACTGGTTTGACTCCTAGGACGGGATTGACCCCGGCCTTGAATGGTTTGAGTGGTACGGGCCTAACACCACTTGTCGGCGGGCCTGTCTCGTTTCCTGCTTCTCCCGGTACCGCTGCTTTCCTTGCATTGATGCATAACAGTGGTATGAACAACATGAACGGTGTCAATAGCGTGGGACCAGGAGGTACCATTACACCTAACACACTCAGCGCCATCACTGGGGTTTTGAACAACTCTCAAGGTCAAGGCCAGCAAGGCCAGCAGCCGCAAAACCAATACACCAATCCTCCCACAGTTCCTTCTCATCTTCACCATTCACATACTCACATCAACAATGAAAACGCCAACCCACATAATTCATCATACCTTGAGAGTGCAAACAACGCTGCGTCAACAGCTGCCAATGGTCTCTTCCTCCTAAGTCAAGCACACCAGGAGCTCACCAAAAGGGAGGAGGAACAGGCGAGAGCAAACTCTAGTCAGGCCAATGGAAATGGTGTCAACGGGAACCCGAACGGCACAGCCGGGAAACGTGGATCGAAGCGGAAAAACTCTGAAATTAGCAACGGTAATCTCGGTGTGGCTGGCAACAGAACATCGAAACGCACCAAATCTACGGGTGGTAGACGAAAGCAAGCCACTCCGGATTTCGAGGACTTTGATGGCATGGAAGACGGAGATGAGGATGATGATGATGATGATGGTATTAAAGAGATGCCGCAATCGACGACAGGAGGAAGAGGACGAAACAAAAAGCCAGAGACGGAGGAAGAGAAGAGGAAAAACTTTTTAGAGAGAAATCGTCAAGGTGAGTGAAAAACGCTTTTTCGACGTCATTTTTCATTGCGGTACTGCGAACCTTGATTAAAATTTTTTCTTACCTTCCACTTAGCTGCCCTTAAATGTCGGCAACGGAAAAAAGCCTGGCTTGCTCAATTGCAAGCCAAAGTCGAATATCTTTCACAAGAAAATGAGCGATTGACATCCGCTCTTGTTTCATCAAGAGAAGAGATTTCTCGTCTGTCGGCGTTAGTAGGTGGAGCGGGTATCAGTGGCGTTGGCATAGGAGGAACTTCTGTAGCTGGGACGGGATCAGGTTTGATAAACCTAGGTTAGTGGCACCTTCTAATCTACCAGTGTTTGCCGGACGGACTGAATAACCAAACTGCACATGTTGTTTAGGATCGGTTCCATCTGTATCCTCATCGGGAGCACAGGCTGTCCCAATTAGTATGGGCATATCTGCTTCTGGGAAGGGCGGTGTGGTTGGAGGTTCTGTCGCTCAGGTTGTCAATGCGGGTACAGTCAAGCAGACGGGCGGGTATGGGTATTAAGTCGATACCCGACACCCATCCCTCCATCACGCATCGTTCGTCATTTGCCAGTTCCCATCTCTGTCATCGTCGCTGCCTTACAACACCATTTGTCTCATTTCCGTCCCGCGCGCTCTTTCCTTTGCCCGCGCCTTTTCTTCGTGACAGCTGAATGCCTTTAACATGACCCCACTCCCTCTATTTGTCTCTACATCATCCCTTCTATGTCAATCTTTCCTCGAAATCCCCTTGATTATACACGGTCATCCCCACGACTCCTGTTCAGCATATATATTTTTGCTACTTCGTGTCCACATCGCCGCCGTTTTCTCTATCAGTTGTGGGTTTTATGTGGGTTTTTGGTTGTCTTTACGATTTTTGTCCAACTATTCGAGTTGTTACTTATGTCTTTTGATACAGTTTACGATCCGCGATAAATACGTTTGATACACGGACATGGTTTCTTTCTAGTTGTCCTTCATTCTTCCCTCCTCTTGCTTCCCTCTCCTTATGACAGTAGAGCAAAATACGAACGCTTTACTTATTTCCGCCTTGACTATTTTCTTCACGTCCTCGATCTGATCATCATTCTTGTAGTTTTACCCTTGTTATGCTTCTACGTCCCTTGAAAATTCAAAAATTGTGTATGTACTGTACATAGCGACACAGTCGTAATTTGTGTCGAAATTCTGATACGGCCAACGAGTGTGTTCACCCCAGAGAAACCTCACATCATGATGAGTCATCTTACGCCTAGATACAATTCTTTCATTCTCCGAAGTCGAGGGATTGATTGGACGTAAAAAAAACAAAACTTTTTGAAATCTTGCGCAGTACTTACATGAGGGGCCAGGGCCAAATGTCTAATTTATTTCAGTATTAATACCTCCAACATTCTCTGCATACCAGCTTATAATCATCAGCGTCATCAGCTATTGCTTACATGCAATAAAGGCGGTCGTACGTAGACGGTACCAGATATACGAGATGAGGGGAAGATAAGAAAAGGAAGTAACTGTGGATACATAGATTGTAGATAAATCGAAATCACTACGGTCGATCGGAAATAAGTAAATGTCAAAGCGGGATATACTTAGTGTATAATCCTCGACATAAACCTCTATACCTTGAGGACTTGGAGTACTCACCATCCTATTCATAATTATTCCTATCTCTCTAGTCACGCCGCACTCATCCGACTCATCCGACTCATCCTCGTAAACTCGTTGTCTTCGTGTTAATCCTGTTGTTATACCTCTGTCCACTGCTCAGAAACTAAGGCTCTCCTGTCTCTCTCCTAGCTTCTGCTCCTTTATAGCCAAATCAACTCTTCAACCTTATCCTGCTTCTTCTGTTCTTCCCCTCTCAGATTCCTCGACCTCCTTTATCCTTTCCTCAATCAACTCAGCAAATGTCTCCAACCCTAACAACACTCCGCTGTCAGGTCCTTGACCAGGAACGAACCGAGTATGGGCAAAATCAATCAAAGCAATTTTATATGGTGCAGAGGGTTTGCGTTTTGGTTTTTCGCGATTAGGCAGAGGTTCGGATGGTAGCGATTGAGAAGCAGCACTAGTTTGAGGTATTGATTCCGAGGTGTCTTTGACTATGTGTGTGGTTGGCGCGTTGGATGTTTCCGAGCCAGTAGCAGATGTATCTTGAAAGGCTTCGTCTTCGTCTTCTTCGCTGGAGGTGTTTTCTTCTTCTTCTTCTTCATCATCATCAATGTAATACTCCTCATCGTCGTCATCTCCAAAATCCCTCTTAACTCTCTCTCTTATCATCCTCTCCCTCTCCTTCATCCAATCAACACCCTCCTGCGCTCTCTCTTGATCTCCCTCCCAAACGACTAACAAACTCCCTCCGATGATCCGTATCTCGATATCTTTCAAGGTTGAAT